AACTTCGCTTCAATTAAATCGTTTAGAAAAAGTAATTGACAGATCTATTGCGGATGGTGGCGACGGGTCTTTCCGACTGCAATTGTTGATGTTCTTCACTTGATGGTGATGAATTTTTTGCTACAAACTATGGTTACTTCGAAAGATATCATGAAATTCTATAGAACCGTAATCTCTTTGGCTCTGTTATTATCAATAGAGAAATATAAAGAGTTGTCTTCTCTCGTTGGCTCCTATTGGAGTAATAAAAAGAGAGTAGCAATCGTTCTCAACTAATTCTGAAGCATGGTGTTTCTGGATTAATACGAAGATTATCTCTTCTGAGATTTATTTCAGGAGCAAATATGGAGCTTTCACATGAAAATCTTTAGTTATCCATACGCTAATAGATGTGTTAGTTTACTTGGGATCCCTAATGCTGTATCCCTTTTATATATTGTTTTTGCTAATTTTCATTGTGTAAAACTATTTACCTAAATGACTTAATAATATAATCCAATGTTAAAAAAAATGTTCATGAGTGCTTGAAACCATCGCTTCCCGATAATATTTTTTCTTTAACTTGTAAAAGCATATGAATCAAAAGACAAGACATCCCTCACAAGTTTATCTAAATAGTTGGACGAAGACCCATTTTCCCCTAAGCATTTTTCAGCCCTCTCTTTATAGGCCAAGCACCTATCTCTCATCTCATTTCCGTTATCCATTATTGCACTCCTTACTACCTTCTCAATCTCTTCCGTATCCATCATACTCTTCTCTAACACATTCCCAACTCGCCATACATCAGCAATGTATCTCGCGTTCACACGCTGGTCCGAGAAACAAGGCGTACATATCATTGGAACACCTTCACATATGCTCTCTACCGTTGAATTCCATCCACAATGAGTCCAAAACACTCCAACCGCGGGATGAGCCAATACCTCTAACTGATTAGTCCACTTCACAATTTTTCCTTTATGTCCAAGGTTGTCCATAAACCCACAAGGTAATGACTCCAGCCACTCGGTCCCTCGGACCAACCCTGGCCTAACCACCCACAAGAAAGACTGTTTGCTGTTTCTTAGACCCCAAGCAATCTCGAGAAACTCCTTCTCTTCTATATCTGCAAGGCTTCCAAAACTCGCATAGACCACTGACTTTGGGTCTTGCTTCTCGAGCCATTTTGTTATTTCATTGTCTTCTTTGCTCTTTGTTTTTGGTGGAAGATGGTTGCTATGTTTGTGGAATGGTCCGAGAGGGAAAAAGGGAACATTGAAGTTGCTGCTCAAATCCATAAGTTGGCCTCTTTCAAGATCTTCAAATGTGTTCCATATGACTCCTGATGATGACTTGACTCCTTCCACCATGTCACTAATTATTCGGTATAGTTCATCTGGATCGTTCGTTTCTACTACCGGAAGATCCTTCACTTTCAGTGGTGGAAGTTCTATCACTGGATCATCTTGTCTAGAATCTGGATAAATAAATAATAAACTTTTGATACTGCTAAAAGATGTCTAAGAAAGAAAAAAATATAGAATATGTGATCCAATGGTTTAGTAAAAATGTTTATAATATTTTGATTAGAAACAAATCTAAATTTATTTTAAAAACAAATTTTATATACATTTCTAATAACAATAAAATAAATTATTTTATTTGAATTTAATTATCTGTGAAGATTTATATATCTACAGTATTGACTTATTCAGATTTACATCATGTACCACCTTGTTAGTTGTTTGCAAGCAGCCTCTAGGCTCTAACCAACTTGATTGATACAAAGAGAAGAAAAACGTGAAAACTTAGAATGGGGTTATGAAATTAACATTTTCATATTATAAAACTGCAACTGGAAGAAAATTGTATCAACCCCTATCATTCATTTTTATCAATTACACATTAAATAAAAAATAAACTCATAATTAATTGTTCAATCTGGAGATAAAAAGTGTTAACAATTTTTCATTCTTCCTCACTTTAAAATCTTCATTCATCAATTATTTTTTTCTATTTTTAGTTCCTCCTTTATTTCATTTGTTCCCCCCCCCCTCCCCATCCTTTCCTTTTTTCATATTTTTCTTTTGGTGGTTACCAGTCAAAAGAAAATTTTAGACTGGAGTTGTATATTTTACATAATATAAATAAATTTAAACTGATAGATAAGGGTATATTTTATTTTTTTAAGAGAAAGGTATTTTACCTAGTGTAGAGAAGTAACCCTTATCCCTAAGGAGAGGGAAAGCGGCAAAAGCACAAAACGACGCAGCACCACCTGTCCTCAACACTAATCGATGCACTCCAACCTCTTTGGCCGCAATCTCCGTGTTCCTCCCCCATATAGCGTCAGAGACCAAACAACACACCTTCTCTCCTCCACCTACTTCCGCCGCAAGACTCTCACGAAACGGTTCTGCGTACTTTTGTTTCAGGACACGTATGAGTGCAACAAGGTCCATACCCGAAGTCTCTGACCGAGAAAGAGGGTCTTCTCCTCCTTCTCCTTCTTTGTTGTGAGAGATGGTTCGAAAAGTGAAGTGTGGGTATCTGGAAGGATCAGGGAAGTTGTAGGAAGTGTGGAGGATCGTGATGGAAAAGCCACGGTGGTGGAATATACCGGCGAGTTGGATCATTGGGTTGAAGTGTCCTGGAAACGGTAAAGGAAACATGATTATTTTCCTTCCTTTTCTCTCTTCCATATTTTTCTTCTTAAACTTTAGGGTTTCAAGATGTGTTTGATATGTTGTTGTGTAAAGCTCTCACTAGCACTGGAGACTAATATACTACTAATTAACCCACATGTACAATATTACGATAGCTATGAATATTAATTTGCCACTTGTATAAAAAATTGGAGCAATAGCCGGTGAAAAATTGACGGTAACATGTGACTGTCTTTTTTACTTCTATAATTAATTAGTTAGTTTGTATTTGTAAACCAAGAAACGATGTGAAGATTCCTATACTTTTGGACAATTGTTAGAAAGAAGCTTATAGTAAGAGACAATGACAGATGTGTTGATTGATACAACAAGTCACGAGCTACAAAGGTTGGCACTTGGCACGTCGCACGAGACCACTACAATCCGAGGCCAGCCTTCAAAACCTTGAACTTAAAATGGTACTTACAGATTCTCTGAATGGAACTGCGAAAGAGACATGACAAGAACAATTTGAGAAACATCTTTTCAACAAGCAAAGTTTAAAGTTGTTATGCTACAAGGAAACATGCCTATTACAAAGGATGTATTCGTAGTTAATTCGTCATAATAGAAGTATCATAGCGAATTAACCACAAACGCCGTTTCAATTGAAAATGTTATGTCGTAATAGATGATTCGTCGTAATATCCTTGCTTTTCGTCATAAAAGTAAAACAAACATATTCGTTGTAACTTCGTGGTTAACATCCCTCATAAAAACCTCATAATCCGCCCTTGTAAAGTCATCATGAAGATCTGCGACAACTTGTAGTTAATTGTTTGTAAAATTTGCGATAAATTTACAAGAAAGTAGTAGTTATATTCTCGTAACAGATTGCGACAAATTAACTAGTATATCCATGTCAAATCGTCGTAAACATTACAAGGAGTTTACAATCGAGCTGGATCATTGAGTTGAAGTGTCCCGGAAACGGTATAGGAAACGTGATTTTTCTCCTTCCTTTTCTTTCTTCCATATTTTTCTTCTTAAACTTTTTTTTTTGTTTGATATGTTGTTGTGTAAGCTCTCACATAGATACTAATATACTAAGAAACACAAGCCGGTGAAAATTCGACGTTAACCATGTAGTGAAACACTCGTTTTTGGACTTTTAAAAATTTGCATGGTGATCCTTTTAAAGGTTGAGTAGTCTAATGCATGTGACTGTCCTTTTGTTAAAACGTGTATGTTTTTTGGAAAACCATCACATCGGAATGATATAAGTAAATAAACATCCTCAAGACGAGTAACAAATGAAAAGAAATAAGAAGATAAGAGCATGTTTATCCATGGGTGCTTAGAGAAGTGCTTACAAAGAGATGAGTGCTTAATTTGAAGAGAGAGAATGTGGAAAGTGCTTAATTAAGCACTTTCCACACTCTCTCTCTCTTCAAATTAAACACCCATCTCCTTCTAAGCACTTCTCTAAGCACTCATGGATAAACATGCTCTAACAATGCGATTATAGACAAGACTATGCTATTGAAGGCCGAAGAGTGAGTCTAGGTCCATAACGTCTGGTGTCGACTCTTCTTTATGATATATATACAGGCCCGCCTGACTCAAAGTAAATATAAGCCATGTGCAAGCTCATTCTCTTAAACCAAATTTAAGGTTCATAGAAGAAGAGAGAATTCACGATGACAACACATCCCCTGTGCAAACTCATTCCTAACGTGTGGAAGATTCAAGAAAGTGGTTCAGCCCCGGACTTATGTATTGAAATGCCTAAGTAACAAAATTTCAAGAAGAGAGACTTCATTATGACATATACTCCACTGGAAACAGGGGACTGCAAGAGCAGATTTAATTATCGCATGGAAGTGCGAAAGATTTGTTGCTAGGAGTAGTCAATAACCTGCTTCAAAAAGAACAATAGGGGGTAAAATCGTTAAATCGTTATGAATCTGAGATCAAATGAAATTAAAAACATGATTCTCATGGACTCAGCTGAAGCTCTCTAGCTAGGCAGGCATATATAGTCATGAGCAAGATTACATTTTGTCACAATGTATAGCCTTCGAAAGTGGTTGTTCTCTAATATCATCTTTTCGAGAAATTTGGGTGACATTTCATGGTTCATCAAATTACTTTAGATAGTCATGGGAGCTCTTATTCTGAATTAGTTCCATTAAATTGGAATAGCAGTGCAAAAATGCAAATAAGTTAGAACCTTAGTTTGTTTATGTGGAAACATAAAAGATTCTAAGAAAAAAGATTAAAACACTCGAACATTATGAAAATGGTATTATTTATTCAGTTCTTTGTGATAAAATTAATTATTAAATGAGGTATAGCAATAACAATTTTTTTTTAATCGTCCCATTCGAAACAGTAACGAGTTAATCCATCACCATCTATACGACACATAGGAGTTTTCTCGTCTTTGGACTCTTTTCCCACCTCCCAAATGCATTCTCTACACACTGGAGTCTCTCCAGATGGAGTATCATCTCTTGCTACTGTAAAGATATCAAAATAATGAGATCCGCCTCCATACCACGTAAAATGGCAACGAAACCTCGTGCTTTTCCAAATGTTAACATGAAATCTGAAACTCCAGTACTTATCCCAAGGGATACGGATCATCCCCAAATCATCCTCACTAGACTTGCAATGTACGTTCAGAACTTGCCCGTTCTCTACAACGTTATGGATTACAACATGCTTAGGTGCTAGAGGTAACAGGCCGTCGTGGCCTGATCCTGGTGCTGGTGCGTCCGCTTCAGTGGTTGAGACATCTAACGCTGATGCAAAAAGAATAAGAGTAAGATATGAGATGATCATAAATATCAATACGCAATGAAGGTTATTAGAGAAAGTCATTGTTATGTAAATTATGTGACATGGATTGTTATTTTTATTGGTTTCCTATTTATAAATTTAATTATTTTTATTTTTAAGATACATATTTAATTATTTTTTAAAATAGTCGTCTATGTTTAGTAAGAAAATATAATTCAGGGTAGGTTTTTATATATTATGATTAATTTTGAAAAGAAATTTATTTATTTGGGTCGTTATCAAAGACTTTTGACTTTTTAATAAATATTAAATATTTTAAAGCCTTATTTCGTAATTTTAGAAAGAAATATGTTGTTTACCAAAAAAAAAGAAAAGAAATATTTACGTAAAAATGGTATGTTTTTCTTGTTGGCCTGGAATATTATCTGTCAGATAAAACCCAACCGACTAATCCAAGGGACTTGTCCACTGGTGCCAGGTAGATCTAGTTGCTCGTAACGAGAGTTAGATACTTATGTCATCTAGTTACATTAAGGATAGTTAGGAGATCTCTGAGCCACCTTCGTATGTTGTAATATGGACTGTTTGTATTGTGTAATCGTTTGCTTCTCCAAATAAAACTTTATAACTTTATAAAGTTTTGTGCATTCTAAAAACAGTTTTAAACTTTAAATTTTAAAATTTGTATCATGATATCTCAAATAGAAAGTTTTTCTTGTACAAATCTTTATATTTAAGGTTCCTTATTTTTAAGTCCTTACACTTATATTTATTTTAAACAATCTTATCCAATATTTTTCTTTTATCAAGTTAATCCTTCATAATTTTATATCTAAATTTAATTTTTACATATATTTTATAATTTAACCATCATATATAAAGTTAAAGCATTATAAACTATTAGAATTTATGTAAAAGTGATTTAAAATTACTAAATCTCCAAAACGGTATCCATCTAATTGCGGATTAATCAAAAGTCATTATTAATGAATTCTTTATATTATCATTTTATGTTCATGTTGAATAAACTCCTAAAAGTATAATTACAAACAGTATTTAATTTACATGTATTTATAAAAGTTATATGATTTTAAGTAGTTAACCTAAATCAATAGTAAAGACTAAAGTATAAATTATAAAACTTTTAATGTTCAATATAAAATTTTGTTTTTACAGATAAACATCATCAAACCTTAAATTTGAAGTTTTGATAAGGTTCAATATAAAATTACTTTTGGAGATGCTCCTATATAATTATAAACTTAGAGTTGTATGCATATGTGGAATTAATTCCATGGATCAACACTAGCAAAAACATTAATCCAAAATTGCTAGTGTTGATCCATGGATACCATTTTGCTAGTGTTGATCCATGGAATTAATTGCTAGTGTTGCTTCCACGTATACATACTCATGAAAATGAAAACAGATCTTCACGTACAAAAGAAATTAATTCCATGGATCAACACTAGCAATTACCATTAACAAGTTTTTATCCAATCAGTAAAGGTCTTTTTTTATCAACCAGTAAAAGTCTTTATCTAAAAAAAAAGTTTTTATCCAATCATTGAACATAAAATCTTAATTAATTTGTTCACTTCATAAAACCATTTAAATCAATAGATCTATCAAAAAAAATTGAAGCATCCGTTCTACAAAAAGAAGTAAAAGTCAAGTAATGGTAGTCGATGTCACATAGCACTAAGCAAACACAATCTAATCTCATTTATAAATATCCAAATTAAAGTTAAGTAACCAAGAATTTTTAACGGAAACATTCCTGGAAAAACAATTAATTAACCCAAACCAATAAAAAAATGGTAGAGATTCGAATTAAGTCTTGGTCAGGGGGAAGGTTATATTTTTGGACTTGAAGACTGCGGGAACATCACGAAACCATTTTTGTCTGAAATAAGATGTGGCAACACAACGGCTACTTACGAATAAAATAAATATATTTAAAAAACAATTATAAAAGAGGCAAAGAGACGTTAAGATCTACATGTGACCAGCAAAATTCAAAAACTTTTTTAAGACAGAACAAAAAACAACAGAAACAATTGTAATAACCAGAGATCTTGAAATTTCATGGACCACTAGTGATCTTCTCCTTTCCTTATATCTTCTGGGTTTCTAAAAAAGTTTCGATCTTTGTTGCTAAAAATGGAGGATAACTGTATTGGGTTTGAAGGATCTAAACGTTACGGTGAGAGCAAACGAATCGTTATTGACTCAGTGACCGAGTCAACGACCGATTCGAGTCTTAGCAGCTCTAGCTCCGGTGGTGGATCGAGTTCCGGGAGATCTGTGTCTTCTCTGTCGTCTCCTCCGACGAAATCGCAGCTTCTTGGATGGCCCTTAGGGCAAGGCTCGTGGAGGAAGAGTTCAGGGAAGAAGATGGTGAAGAAAACTCCGAGTAAAGTCGATACCTTTGGGTTTAAGAAAATCGGAACAGAGACTTCAGGTTTGTTCTAATCTCTCTGTTTCATAAAACGACAAAGTTTTGACCTTTTTGGTTTTTTTTGTTGTAGAAGTTGAGTTGTTGAAAGAGAGGATGGCGAAGCTTCTGCTTGGTGAAGATATGTCTGGTTCTGGTGAAGGGGTTTGTCCTGCTTTAGCCATCTCTAATGCTATTACCAATCTCTATGGTAACTTGACTTTAGCTTTGTTTATGTGATATTAACATTCATATATGGTTCTGAGTTTGACTTTCAATATGAAGCTGCGATTCTGGGGCAACAATGGAGGCTAGAGCCGTTGCCTGGTGAGAAGAAAACAATGTGGAGAAGAGAAATTGAAGTTCTTCTCTCTGTTAGTGATCACATTGTTGAATTGGTACCTTCCTTTCAGAACATCCCCAATGGAAACAAGATTGAGGTACTTTAAAAGTCTATAACTTTAAGGTGATGTGTTGTGTTCTGTTTCTTGATTTGGTGGGTTAAGTGTGTGTTCTGTTACTTTATTTGGTGGGTTAAGTGTGTTCTGTTTTTTTTATTTGGTGGGTTAAGTGTGTTCTGCTTCTTTATTTGGTGGGTTAAGTGTTTTCTGTTTCTTGATTTAGTGGGTTAAGTGTGTGTTCTGTTTCTTGATTTGGTGGGTTAAGTGTGTTCTGTTTCTTGATGTCCTTAGGTTAAGTGTATTCTGTTTTTTTATTTGGTGGGTTAAGTGTGTTCTGTTTCTTGATTTGGTGGGTTAAGTGTTTTCTGCTTCTTGAAGTCCTTAGGTTAAGTGTGTTTTGTTTCTTAATTTGGTGTGTTAAGTGTGTTCTGTTTCATGATTTGGTGGGTTAAAAGGTGATGAACTGCAGACCAAGATCAGATCTATCTACTTGTCTCCCCGCTCTTAAGAAGCTAGACAACATGCTTATTGTAAGAAACTTTGATCTCTTTCTCCTTGTTATCTCCTCATGATGTTTCAAAATAGCTCAAGAGAGTTTTCTCTTTAATATGTCTTTAGGAGATATTAGATAGCTTTGGAGAAACAGAGTTCTGGTACGTTGATCATGTAGCTGCTGAGTCCAGCTCTTTCCGTGAAGACGGAGACAAATGGTGGCTTCCTCTGCCACGTGTACCATCTGATGGACTCTCTGAGCAATCCAGGAAGAAGCTAGACCACACTCGCGACTTCACTAACCAAATCTTGAAAGCGTGTATGTCAATCAACAGCATTGCTTTAGCTGATATGGAAGTCCCACGAGCATACCTTGAAGCTCTTCCAAAGGTATAAACTCTTATTTCGAGTGACCACTGGGACGAAACTAATATTACATGTTGTGGTTTCGGACCCGAACCTTGTGATATATATATTTTTTAATTAATTAATTTCATAGCCAAGTTTGTGAAATTGTGTTTGATCACATTGTTTTGTTTGCAGAATGGGAGATCATGTCTTGGAGATTTTCTTTATAGACACATCACATCAGATAACTTCTCACCGGACTACTTGCTTGAGTCAATAGATCTATCATCTGAGCATGCTGTTGTGGAGATGGCGAATCGTGTAGAAGCATCAATGTACATTTGGAGGAGAAGAGCTCACTCCAGGCATTTGATCTCTCTGTATAGATCCACAGGTGCAAGGCCCTCATGGGGGATGATAGTGAAGGAGATGATGATGAATCAAAACGATGGTGATCACAGGAGAGAGGTGTTTGCAGGAAGAGCTGAAAGTCTTTTGATTAGTCTCAAGCAACGTTTCCCTGGACTTAGACAAACAGCTTTGGACACAAGCAAGATCCAGTTCAACAAGGTTTGTTTTTCACATTATAGTAAAAAAATATAAATTAGTACTAGTGAATTAATAAACACTATAAAATAATAAAACTCATCAATCATGAGTTGTGTCGGTGTAAAATATGACGTAATTAAGATAATACAAAGTTTGTTTTTCACATTATAGTAAAAAAAAAATTAGTATTAGTAAATTAATAAACACGATAAATTAATAAATTCACCAATCACGAATTGTATCGGTGTAAATTATGACATAATTAAGATAATATTTTCTTTTGAAAAATCTTATGTATATGGTTCCAATATAGCATAAATCAATATTTAATGTATATAAACTTTATATTAAGATAAACAATATTTGAACCTATATATAAAGACATAACAGTGTCAAGTTTTAAACCTTAAACTTGTTTGCAGGATGTAGGAAAGTCTATACTTGAGAGCTACTCAAGGGTACTAGAGAGTTTAGCGTATAGCATTGGTGTACGCATAGAGGAAGTGTTGTACATGGATGACATAAGTAAAGAAGATCATGATTCTTCTTCTTGTTCAGACAAGTTGAGATTGTTGTCTAAAGAAGATGCATCAAGTAGGTCAGCAGGTTCACTAAGGAAGAGAGTTTCGGTTCCATCTTTGTTCTCTGTGTCATTCTCAGGCACATCAACTCCTTACAGAACTCCATCGTTCTCTGCATCGACTCCAACTTATTCACCAATGCCGTTGATAAGCCCCATCAGTGGAGGAGGAGAGCGAGCTCCGTTTCTCTCTAGGAGGAACATTAGAGAACGTTGTGGGTTTGGTCCAAAGAAAGCATTGGCTAATTATCTACGGGGTTGAATTTGAATATTTATTAAGTTATTTATGTTATGTTATTGAGATAGCTTATTTGATTCGTTTGTTTATTTTGTGTTTCTATATAAAAAGCAGTTCGCTTGGATGTTTGTATGACAATATATTATCTACCACATGCAGTTTATAATTTGGAGTTGTTGCTATTCAGTTAATAGAGGACTCTTCTACTTATACGAGCTTCGAAAGAATGCTAGTGACCTTATGCTTATTCATACTCGTAATAAAAATATTCTTCTTCATTATGATATAAAGTACTGTTACAATTATTCATAGATCATCACTATCACATAAGACAACATTAGGACAAACGTTTATACATATATCATCAGGAAGGGGTTTGTCTTAGTGTTGTGTGTTTCTCGTAAACAAAACAAATCAACACGTCAAGAACAAGTCACTCTTCTTTTATACAATATACTACACTCTTTAATTTTGTAAGGATCTTTATATAGTTTTATATATACTCTTTATTTCCTTATCAAATCTTTGAATTTTCATATTAAGATTATACCATGATGTCTCTTAATCCCCTGCAAAATAGTAACAAAGACTGGAACAGAGATATGTTAGTATAACGTTAGGTAATTTGATAAGCTGATGTTTGTATTCACTATATTTCTATTTTCTTTTTCTCATCTTTTGGTAAAAGAAGTTACAAAAAAAGCATGAGATCTTACGTAATGCTTATGGAACATCTATTTCATTTAATAGTATATAGACAAATACCTTAGCAGTTGCTCAAAATCAGGATTTCATGACATGCAGTGCATGTTAGTAATAAACCGACCCTGCATGCACCAAATACAACTATTTGTTTATTATATATAAAACTAATAAATTGTGCAAAAATAATGTAAAACGAACCTTGTCAATAACTATTAAATAAATCTTTATATGTGTATATGGGAAAAACAATACCTTCCCACCAGTTTCCTCTTGATGCACTTTTGGAATCGCCTTCATCTCCATCTTTCTTGTACTGCATAAGTTAAATATGAAAGGAAAAAAGCAAACTCTTGGATTATTAATACATATAGAGAGACTACACATGTAAAGAATTTAAGTTTTATCATGCACGTAGGTGTTATATGTGAGATAGATGTGGAATACGACTTACAGTATCGTTGGTGGTAGTCGTTGTAGAGGAATAGTTCTCTTGGCCTCCATAGTAAATGGATGAGCTCAAGTTGCATGGTGGTTCAGTTTCCTCATTATGGTAACTCTTTTTGTCCTTTTTGCTGCTTCTTTCTCCTCCTTCATCTACAAAAGTATATAAGTATAATCTTAAAAATATATAAGTTTTCGGTATGAGAGAAAAAAAAAGCTGTGTAAACTCTCAGAGCATCCGCAACGAAAATCCTTTGAAAAAAAAATAATTAAATAATCGGTAGATCCCACAAAAAGTTAGGGATTTGATCTTTAAAATCCCTAAATAAGAATTATTTCTTAACGAATCCTTACACTATTTGCGGGTCCCTAGGACACGTGACAGCCTGCAAATGGTCTTTTTTTTTTCTTTTTAAAAAAAAAAAACTGAAATATCCTTACCAAATCTGAAATACATTTTTTCTTAATAACTATTATGAGTCTCACGGTTACGGATGCTCTTAGTTAGGACTATTAAAATATTTAAAAGACACTTTAACCTCTGACTCATAATCAATAAGTTTTTTCAATAACAAGAGGATTATAGACCACAAAATACATAGTAATATTTAACTATGTGAAAATTGAAATATTTACTATTTGAATCGTTTAATTAGAGTGACAAACTGCTATTGTTATAGAGACCATAACCTGGATTTTAAAAATTTATTAAGCTGAAATGAACATAGCCTAGCTAGTTTTACTAGATAATTAACGAAAAATAATTTATGAAAAATAATTTACTTGGAGATTGATACTTCACATGTCCACCTTGACTTGAAAAGTCCACTGGTCTCCCAGATATCCCCTTTTAGTTCACAACAAAATAAAATTAATTAGTGAGTAGACCAGCATGATATTGTATATTAATCAATTTAATCTAGACCCGTAACCATATGTAACATGCATATGAATTTAGAATATTATTCACGTATGTCTCAAATGAAAAAAAAATACCGCTGAGGGTCGAGGAAAGATGGAATTGAACAATCCAGTGGTTGATGAAGAAGGCGGAGAAGAGACTCTTGGACCAAATATATGATCAAAGGACGAAGAAGATGATGAGGAAGAAGATGAAGCAGCAACAATCTTCTTCTTGTCCATGCTAAAGTTATGTAGATAGATATATGTATGTATGCAAGTTTTAAAGAGTTTATTTCTGGAAGATGGATTACGAAAGTGTCTAGGAATGCCAAAAAGAGAAAGGGTTAGATTTTGTGAGAGAGGCGAAGAAAGGAGAGAACATGTGATGAAACATAAGAGAAGACACGTGAATATCTCACAGTTGTTTCATGCGACTCTTATTAACCGTCGTGTCTTCATATTTATAGATGAAAACTTTGACTACATGTGATCTGTCTTTATATAAGTTACAAAATTTATAGTTTACTAAGTTTATAGACACATAGATCGGAAATCTCGTTATATTAAGAATTTTAATATATTTTTTTTACAAAAATAGAGTTATGTCTGTATATCAACTATATAAAAATATGAGAGTTCAATGTTAATATTCTATTTTCGTTATGACTTATGACCGGCTTAGAAAGTGGTTTGTATTCAATGTGACAATAATGTCAATATTATGTTTGATGCATTTTCTATGAGATTCAGCTCTTTGACGTACTTTCCCACGTGAAGAGGCTGCAGTTAGGCATGATCCTAACGTGCAGGCGATAGTGTCACACTATTGAACCCACACTATGTGTGGTTGTCGAGGTACGTTTTGAACTCGAACTGAGCCTAAAACTGCTTGTGTACTTTCTTGCATGTTTGATGGGCCTTTTTGATCGAGTCAGGCATCGAAGAGGGAATATAGTTATCTTTCTGTTAAAGTTGGACTAGTTTTGTGTCTAGTTATTACTATTTTTTTCCTAAAAAAATGAGAATACTCTGTAAAAGGTTACGCGGGACGTACACTGCCAAATGTGGCAATCGTATCAATTGAATTAGAATCCTCGAAGTCATTCCCGTGAGAGACATAGTGTCGTGCCCACATTAAAGTCAATGAATATTTTCGATGCAGATAATATGCAAAAATGCTTTCCCAAGTGTTTGCAAAATGCAAATGACTTTTCAGTCTAGAACATTGTAGAGAATACCTTTTGCTCGTTGATAAGTTTGTTATGTTTAGTTCGGTATAGTTCCACCAGAACAGAATATTGCAGATGTGAGTATACTTTAAAAATCATAATTTATATATACGTTATGCATGTCTCATGTTTTGTTATAAATTTTAAATCGTATCATCTGAAAACATTTTTTAAGTATATAACAAAGTAGTATATTTGATGTAAAACAACAAAGTAGTATCTTTGATGTAAAAAAAATATGGAAAGGGGTATGAGGCCAACATATTTCATGTTTAATTCATTTGATAAGTGAAATTAAATCAATTTGATCCTTGATACCTATACGAATATGGACTCATGTTTATGACCATTTGTATATGCGAAGAGAGTGTATTCGTAGGCTTCACCTCCTTTCCATAAGTTTGGATATCGCAGTTTAATCATAAAAAAAATACAAAAATAAACATCTAACCTTTTTTAAAAAATTGTATACCAATCTAATGTATCAATGTTGCAGTCTGATGAACGCAAAAGAAAAAAAATGTATATATGATATATGTTTGTTTTTGAGAATGAAATATAAGTATACAAAGGACCAGAAGATCGGTAATTAAAGGTCAAGTTAGATTTGCTATAGTGATGTAAGATTCATCAATAGCAAAGGGTTGACTCTATTGGTGTCTTCACAACTTGCAAGTTGTGATTCAACAAAACAATAGGAACTTGGAATCAACACAACACTACACAAAAACAAAAGGATACCAAATTAATATTCCATTCGATATGTATAGCTATCATATATATATACAAGGGTACTTCTCAAAATTACCACATCTAGAGTTTATTTTATAAAATTGCCATGAAAATTCAAAATTTCATACCAATGTTTACGAAGACTTTTACCAGTATAAAAAGTTTTTAGTATAGCATTTAACTAGAGAATTTAATTGCTAACTACATTTAAAATACACATACTGCATGGCTTGTTCATAAAAAGGACACCATATATATGTTGACATGGATAATTCTAAAGAGAGAAGCATAGCCACACTTCTGGTATATAGGAAATTTATTTAAAATAGCTAAACATATATTCTCTTTGCTCCTATAGTTTGAAACTTGGACCAAAATGCCAGTACGAATCTCAATTATTCCCTGTTGACATTGCATTTGAGTATCTTTAGTTTTTACTGTTAAATGTTTGGCCATTTACTTCCACGTAACCTAACCATTGGATGCTATTTTGATTAGTATCAAGCCAAATCTTCTCACTGACTATTAGTAACGGGCCGTTATCAATAATGACATTGGGCCGTTATCAATAAAGACATTAGTAACGGGCCCGTTCTCAATAAGAAAACAAGTAACGCGCTTGAGAGCATCCCACATCGGGAAGAAAAGAGAGTTTGGTAGTGCAAATCATATTATAAATACAGGCTTGCTCTCCAATCAAAACTCACGCAGCCATGTGGTGAACACAAAGCGAACTATTCTTTCGCCTTTTACTAAAGAATACCGTGTGGTCTCCATGCTAAGTGGCATACGCCTATTTTTGGAGGGTTTTCTGTCTTCGGGCGGAACCCAACATAAGCTCAGTTCCAAATGTTTTCTAAGAAATCAAAGATTAATAGCCCATTGGGCCTTTGATAATATGAGCCCAATAATTCGTAAAGATGGTTTGATTATCCATGTTTGTTTAATAAACACTTGAAATTGTACACTCTTTAATTGTGGACCATTTGCATCCTAAATTAATTTCATTGACTAAAAAAACCAGTGAATCAAATTTCACTGAGATATTAAAATTGCATAGCAACAAGATCAAACAATTTCCACTATATATGTAGCCTCTTCTAATAAATAAAAAACATATCCTTTGCTGCAAAAAGTTCAATAAAAGTCATGTGCTTGTTGATAACATGGATTGTTAACTAGGACTACAAAATGTAACTAGGATATAACCAAACAACATATATATATATATATGATTCTGCTAGATTTTCGTATATTAATCCTCCATCCTCACTCTTTGGGTTTTACAGTTTTGATTTTTCACCAAAAATAGACCTAAGAATCCCCTACAAAATAAAAAGCTGTCTATAGCTTTGAGGAAAGATCCATGAAGTAAAGCTTGAGTGTCTCGTACGTCATGAAGCAAATCCCAACACCAGGAACCACTTTATAGTACTCTGGAAGAATCCCTCTGTACAAACCTCTCACTCCTTCTGTCTTAACAATACGTTTCAATGTCCCCAACAAACCTGTCTTGTACACAACTGCTCTCCCACCAACTCCTTCTAGCTGCTTCCTTCTTCTCACCAGATCCAATGGAAACGTAGCTGTGGTTTTGTTTTCACATCAGAAGATTAAAACTTAAAACACAATGCATTATATCACATATGCATCAATTCTATGAAGGTTCTACTGCTTATGGATGCAACATGAGACAAGAGTTTCATTACTATAAACACAAAAATCTGCAGTGAACTGAAACAATCTGTAACGGAGGTGAGGCTAGTTGTGAGACTAAACAAGAAGTATGCCCAAATGCATTTGCTAGAGACAAAAACATTCATATTTACACAAATGCATTATCACCATGTCCACCTATTATGCATCAACAACAAAGAAGTAATCATATAATCCTGAGTTGAGACTATTGATGTGATGAAAATGATGCTATTGCAAATATATTCAGCATATAAGAGAAAGGCTTAGATGGATAAATTATAATCAGCAAGCAAGTCCCTGAAGATTTACCTGTTGAAGATGCTATTCCTGAAAGACTTCCACAAGCTAGACTAACCACTACAGGAGAATCATGAGGCCTTGAAAAAAAACAAATAACATTAGGAGACATCATAGTTTTTTTTTTTTATAAAACAAGAACTGTATTTCGAGATGGAGTTGTTACCTATTTGACCTCCAATAAGATCTCAAAGATTCATACGCAGAAAAGCTAATAGCAATACTAGGTCCAACACCCTGTAAAAAAAACTGAAACCTTAGTCAAGAAAAAAAAAGAAGAAAGATACAATACAACGTTAATAATTTGTGAAAATACCATAAGCGTTGTTCCAAGTCCTTTGTAGAGTCCCAAGATACCTTCATCAGCGCAGATAGTACGCAGAGTATGCCAGATACCAGTGTAGTAGATTACTTTCGTCTACAATCCATTCAAGGATAAATGTGATTAACCATCTTCAACGATGAAATCAACAATGATCATAAACCAAAAAAACTCAAACCTGAGCAGCGAGACGAGTTCTAACAAGATCAAGAGGATAAGTAGCAGAAGCAGCAGTGATACCAGCCAAACCACCGGCTACAAAATGCACAAAAACGTTTGAGCTTATACTACTACTCTCCCTCTGATTCTCCATCCCAGTAACCATATACAACAACTGACAAAACAATACAAGAATATACATAAGTAAAACAAGAATGAATCAGAAATTGTAGATACACAAATCACATACCTTCTTGTAGTGTTCATAGGTATAGAAATTAACAGAAGAATAAGGAAGACGATGAGCAATTGTAACAAGGTTCCCTTTCCAGAAAGCCTTGAGACCTTCTTCATTCAGTATCCGTGAAGCCTCGTGTAATATACTCGGCTTTCTTAAAGCTGCTGCATTTGTGTGCATTCCTTGCACCTTAAAAAAAACACAACACAGTGTCTTAAATCAAGAAGCTGTCCTAAACCATAAAAAAAAGTTTCGATTTTTATGAAAGATAAAGCTGTCCTAAACACAACAACACAGTGTCTTAAATCAAGAAGCGGTCCTAAACACCACAACACAGCGACTTAAATCAAGAACCTGTCCTAAACCCAAAAAAGAAGAAAATTTTGATTTTTATGAAAGATAAAGCTGTCCTAAACACAACAACACAGTGTCTTAAATCAAGAACCTGTCCTAAACACCACAACACAGTGTCTTAAATCAAGAACCTGTCCTAACTAAACCCAAAAAAGAAGAAAATTTTGATTTTTATGAAAGATAAAGCTGTCCTAAACACAACAACACAGTGTCTTAAATCAAGAACCTGTCCTAAACACCACAACACAGTGTCTTAAATCAAGAACCTGTCCTAACTAAACCCATAAAAGAAGCATATTTTGATTTTTATGAAAGATAAAGCAGTTCTAAACACAACAACACAGTGTCTTAAACCAAGAAGCTCTCCTAAACCCCAAAAAGGAAAAAAAAAAGTTTTGATTTTTATGAAAGATTAAAATGAAAGTTTTGATTTTTTCTATCGAACCTGGAAGAGGATGGTGAGACGAGAGAGAGGGGCAGTGCAAGTCTTGCTAAAAGCTCCGGCGATACCTCCGGCTAAGAGCTGAGAAGCAGATTCGATGTGAGATCTCTGATCTTGGGTTAGCCGATGAGAGGAAGCTTTGTTGTGCCCTGAGCTTACACTAACCCTAGCTTCCGTCTGCTGCATCACCATTTTCACCGATTGAAATTTCTCAATACCGACTTCGAGAGAGACAGAAAGATTCAAACTTTGAAGAAGAAGAAGAAGAAGTTTTGTGTGTTTGGTTTGAAATGGTTTTGCTTGAAAGTTTGGTTGTGTAATCTCTTCTTTATGTGTGCCTTCTTTACAGATTTTTCTATTCGGTACTTTCCTCAGCTTGTACGCTTGTTTCCAACGCCATACTACACGGCAAGACTTAAACGACAGCGTTTTTGTTGCAACGAGCGGTTTGCCGCCACGTGATCCGTAACCTCTTTCTTTAATTGTTTTTTACTTTTGTCGGAATTTGCTTTTTTCAATGTTGTGTAACTTGTGTTTATGTAATGATTTACAGTTGTTTTTTTAATCACATCCACTCTCTTTGAAAACCATTAATCAAAAGCTTAGCCGGTCGGTGATACGAATTTGGAAGAAGATATTTATTGTGATCTTTCCTATTAGTCTACCACGTGTTTCTTGTTTATAGAAATCATGTTGAAATGTAGGCCTCGACATTTTACTGGGCCCGAAGACCCGAACTGGAATCGACCTGAAAATACAGTTCAGATTCGGGTCTGGATCCATGCTAAAGTACTTGTTGGATCCTTTTTATTTGGACTCGCAGGTTTCGAGTCGGGTCCGGGTCCTATCCGAGATCCGTTCGGGTACATGTAATACCCACAAATTATTGCATATAAGGTATATTTAGGTGTTTGAGTATATTTTTGGTATTTTAGCTATTTTAAAAAATTTCGGATTCGGATTTTCGGGTATTATTTTAGGTTTCAGGTAAAATTTTAGATTTTCAAAAATATAATTCGGATATTTGGGTAAAAATTTCTTGTTAATTTTTGGTCAATTTCTTCTGTAATTTCTCAAAGTGGGTTTTTGGTCTGATTTTTGATAATTTTTGGATATATCAATGGTTATTTGGATAATTTTTGGGTCTATTTTAGGTATTCAGGTCTTTTTTGGGTTTTAAATACTCGAACCGACCCAGATCCAAAATATACCCGAAATTTATGCGCATTTTACGGGTATTGAAATTATAGATCCGAACTTATCCAGATCCGATCCAAAAAATTATAGGTACCTAGATGGATCCAAATTTTCAAGACCCGAAAAATCCAAAACCCGATTTAAGCCCGACCCGAAGACCCGGATGCCCAGGCCTATTAAAATGTCTCTTTTTTTTTTTTGGAGTTTACTTAAATCATTTCGAGAAGAGCCATGCTTTGTATCTTCTTTTGTTTTTGATTTTTGCTCAATTTGTGTTTATGAGGTTTCACCTCTAAACATAGAATCAAATGGTCTTCTTAAGAGTTACAAATCATCAAGTTGAATAATGTTTTTACACAAATCATTTCTTAATCAATCTCAAGAGATCACCCACCAAATGTAATGAACCTGTCACCAACACCTAACCACATACCAAAAAAATCCCAATTAGACACCTTAACAAATAAAACAAAAGAGTATCTAATACGTAACGTGTTTTCCTTTTTGTTACCTGAAAACGAACTTGTTTACTTTTCCGGCGAGCACTATCCCTGAGCCAGTCAACGGCCAAAGGGAGTGAAGAAAAAACTAAACTCTTCTCTTCTTCTTTTGAATCACTTCCTGACTTAGTTTTTACTTCACCACGTGCTAAATTATCCCAAAGTCTCTTAAGACCCAACTGCCACGTCGTGGAGTCATCTGAATCAACACGTTGCTCAAACTTTGACCAAGATCCCACTTGGTTGTGTACAGACATGTTTGGCACAAATACAGCTTTCCTGAATTCAATTCCTACACATCATTTGAATAAAACATCATCTTATAGTAAAAACATGTTTATTGGGGGTTCTTTGTGTGAGACTTTTAATGAAATATAAAAATTCGTCTCTTAACTTTTAACAGAAAAAAACTAAGAATCGATTCTTATTTAAAAGCCGGTTCTTATATTCTGTTAAGAACTCCCAATAAACATGTTCTAAGAGCTTTCCTGTAAAAGCATAAACTCATACTAATAAACAAACCTTGATCAATGCATTTAGTCCTTAATCTTGGAAGAAGCAAACTCGGATCACGAACTGACATACAATTGAACAAAAGTATCTGCATATTATATACCAACATTATAAGATCAAACTTTCAGATTTTTTAAAATATATTTAAGACAAACTTTTACCTGTTCTGATCTTTTCTGGTTTCTTTCTTTAACATGTTGTGAAAACCAAGTAGCGCAAGCTTCCATGCTTTCAGGACTATGAGCTCCATCAAGGTAAAACACAATCTCTTCAGGTAGTTCTGAGTCAGGCACAATCATAGCTCTTCCCATCAAATAAGCATTTGATAATCCAGAGATGAACTTTTCAGGTAAACCATTCTGTATCCAACAAGTAATAAGTTAGTCACACTTTTTACTCAATAAATTTTTTTTTATTCATTGTTACAAAACTTACTGTATCATTCTTGTCTTCAATACCAATCTTGTGAAGAAATGTAGAACACAACGCAACCGCAAGACTAGCGTTTAGATATTGATGTTCTCCTTGTAGCCCTAGTCTTTGACTAGAGTCCAATGGTTTCACCACTTTAAGATTCACCTGTAACAAAAGTACTAATCAACTCAACATCTACCTAATGATTTGGTTGTTTTGTATTAACCCTTTACATCAAGTTTTGAAGCTTTCTCGTTAAGTACACGCATTGCTTCATCAGGTTGAGGCACTGTGAAAGCAGGAACTCCACTCTGCAATAGAAAGAGATCATTAAGAATGAAACCGAAACAAGAAAAACGCAGAAGCTTCTTGTAAGCACCTTGAAGATACCAGCTTTCTCTGCAGCTATTTCAGCAAGTGTGTGTCCTGTATAAAATTGATTAGAATAAAAAACACATTGGTTCCATTGTTTCTGAGAAAAGAGACTAACCAAGAATCTCCATATGATCATAACCAAGAGAAGCAATACCACATACGACAGGCTTCTGAATCTATATATTAACATAACGCTTTGTTAGAGATGAAACATAATAAATAGAATCTTTAATATGATTTGTCCTACCACGTTTGTTGCATCGTATCTCCCACCTAAACCAACCTCTAGTATAACAACATCCACCTGCGTGTAAACATCAATAAACATTACATAACTAAACTACATGAGTTAGTTAAAAAAGAGATTTGTAACAAAACCTGTTCTGTTGCAAAAATCTTGAAAGCTAACAACGCAAGGAAGCAGAAGTAAGTAGGCATTGGAATCTCATTGCTTGTTTTCTCCTGCGCTTTAGTTTAAGAAACACACATAATCCTTAAAAGCCTTTATATATATGAAATGTTCTGTTCTAAAAAGGCACCACCTTGAGTTTATGGAAGCAACACCAAAAGTAGTCCACAAACTTCTCCTGGCTTATCTCAATGCCGTTCAAACGGAACCTCTCTCGGACATCTATCAAGTGAGGAGATGTGAATAGACCAGTTCTAAGACCATAACCACGAAGAATAGATTCTGAAAATGTGCATGTTGATCCCTTCAAAAACAAATACACAAAACTTAAAACCTTCACTGTAATAATAATCTCAAGAAACTGTGTAGACATGATGAGTATTTAAAGTATATGTTACCTTTCCTTTAGTTCCAGCCACATGAATGATTTTCAACTCTGAGACTGCCTCTTCAAGCTCAAGAACCTAATAAGAGACTCATCAGACTATTAAAACAAAAAAAATGCTCATAACTTGTGGTAATGACACACATTAAAAGTGAACCTTTAGATAATGGAAGAGGAGATGAAACCGGTTAGATTGGTTCTTATTAACAAAGAGGCTACGTTTTGTGATTAGAGACGACAATGCATCCAATGCGTTCTGGTAACGAGCTGATGATTCACCTTCATCTTCTTCTTTTTCCGGAAAGTTAAAAAAACAGAACACATAAAGAGAAGCTCATGTTCAAGCAAAATCTTATGACAGAACTTACCACTTGCCATAGAACGAAGCCAATAAGAGATTTGGGATCTTATTGAGATTGGTAATGAAAGGTCTCAGATTATAATTCAATCTAAGCGATAAAGATGTTTGGCTTTTTATCTTTCTATGTATGTACGGTACCGAACAAAACCGTTATCCATTACTTAAATGATTTCATTTCCACTAAAATATGAACCCAAATGTGGACCCCAAATTAAAAGATACTTTTTTCATGGATAAGATTAAACAAAACATATGTTTAGACCACAAAAGATGAAAAATATTCTGACATTGTGACACTCTTAGGATGATGTTGTTGTGAGTGTCATTGTCATACATATAAAGCAAAAATTTAAACATAGGTATCGATCAGAGACTTCCTCATCTCATCGACAATGGAGCTGGGTTGAGCTTCCCTAAGTTTGAAGATACTGTCTATAACAGAGAGCTCTGTTGCGGTTGTGTCTGATCCGCAGAAAGCAGTCCAGTCATTGACAATCATACCAGCGGCTATAACTTCAGTACCACGGTTCACGGTTCCTGCAACTAGAGGGACTTGAAGAAGTGTTGATAGTTCGTCCAAGTCTTCCACTGATGTGTGAGGATGGACCTATTTAGAAAGAAAGAGGTTTGTTAATACAAATATTTAGTAAGAGAGTAATGATAAAAGAGATGATATGTGTGTTTGTATTCTCTTACAATGCCACCTCTGTTGGACAAGGCACAGTAACTGCCCACAAGAATGTTTCCTGCAATAGTCTGACGGAAAACTTCAACACCAAGAACATCTGCTATGATCTCCTCTGTTTCCTGTCAAAACCAACACAAGAACCAAGTATCAAATCATCTGGCATAAGTACAACAACTCCATTAACATGCCAGATAGTTATTATGTATTGTCAAGAAGTTTCACAAGAGTAATTCAGCAGGGCATAATAAATCTTTTTACCATGTCAAGATCGGTGTGAGCAAGAGCAACATGGTCATTGCAGGCAATGCAATTTCCAAGAGCAGAGAGACGTTCCTCAATTCGCTGGACCACAACTGAATCAGGAAGACTGTTCCTCAAGTGTTGAAGCTCTGCCAGAAGCAAAAAAAAAACATAAGTTAAAATTCAGGAGATGTAACCATACTACAGACCACAGAACCAATATAACATTTCTCAAAAGAACAGAAAGACTCGCATATTATAAAAAGTTATAGATTCCTCAGTCATATAGTAAACGGAGGAGAAAAATATACTCTCCACCAAGAGAATATTTGGATATATAAAGCCATCATCAATTTAAACCAAGGATAGGCAATGAAAATGGTTCAGCCAAGTTGCATCAAAGACATTCAGCAGAATCCCTATAAATATACTCTCTCTGTTCCTTAAATATACATATTCTAGAAAAAAAATTGTTTCTAAAAGATCAATTTCTTACATTTTCAATGCATGTTTTATTAACTAATTGTAAACTTCAAAAAACTTAATTGTACTAGTTGATTTTTTATCGGTTTAAAATTGTGAAAAGAAGATAAATACAAAAAACTATGCAAATTTATTGTGTTTTATTAAAAAGTGTATGTTAACACTACTGGGTCATGCATCATCAGGAATGTGAAGAGAAGTTCTTGATTGTGCTAAGATATACCTTGATCATTGGTTGTATGAGGCACAAGAAGTCCATTCTTGTTTCCTATACACACCAAGAAAGAAAAAAAAAAACCCTATCTTTAACTGAAAAAACATATCAAGAAGATTTTTTAAAAATAAAAGTAAAGGTGAAGAGAAAGCTAAACCAGCGCATAGACGGCCAATGATTCGTGCTCCATCACCAATAGAGGTCTTAACGATAGGGATAACACCAGCTAACTCTGACTCAAAAGCACTACTCAAACAATAAACAAAATTTAAAAACTAATGTATTATAGCTACAAAAGAAGCAAAAATAATAGATACCTGTAAAAATTCTCAGAGCCTCCTATAGGAACTAAGCAATAAGCATTAGTGAGTTTTGAAAAGACACCAACTTCACAGTTGTTCTCAAACTGAAGACCTGTGTTACCACAAAAACTCCATTAAAGCCAAACCCTAGAGAGAAGACACAATTAGGTATAAGCAGAGGGGCTCTGCTGAAAACTTACGAGTGGCCATGAGGGAAGAGAAAGGTAGGAACTTTAATAACTTAAACCTGTGTAAACAAAGCAAAAGGTGAAAACTTTATCATCAAGCAAACGATTATATTTTCAAAGAAAGAATAAAACCCACGAAAATTTAGGGTTTTTGTGTCGTAGAGATGAACCTAACGCTAACGATTCCATTATAAAAGTACTAAAGATATTGATTTTTAAGATATGATTACAAAATTAGGTTAAGGAACCGAAGAAGCTTACGAGGAATGAATCGAGAAGAGGACACAGAAACAAGGCGGCGAAGAAGAGGTTGGGTCTAATATAAAGGAGGCTCCAATTATTAAAAAATAATAATATTACAAAAATCAATTATGTTTTTTTGTGTTTCAAGTCCTTGGAGGAAACGTAAAGTTGAAAATCCGACCTTTTTAACTTTGAACAAATTAACTTTTGATTTATAAAAAAAATAATACATGTTGAAAAAAGTCAGTTTTTTGTGAAATGATACAATTACCACTGTAATTAGTAGTGTAGTAACATTTTTTATAATTTCACTTTTGACGTTAAACTGATTCAAATAGGTTAGTTTGACGAAAAAACTTCAGTTTAAAAAAATTAACCGATTTGGAATCGTATCGTTTAGAAAATTTAAGTTCCGATTGGAATTTATCGGAGTAAAAAGATGGACAATAAAATGGAAAAAATAGAGGATAAAAGAAGTGAAACTGAGAGTATAAAACTATAAATTAATTTAGTTCAAGAGAAAAAATATTACTCGATATTTAGGACTTAATTCTCTATTGCCACACTAACTCTATCTGTTATTCTTATTTGCCCCACCTAATAAATCATTTAATTTTCTTTTTCTTTTAATTACAGAAATGTTTGTAAATACCAAATTATCCTCTATAAATCTACAAAACTACAAACCTAATCAGTGTATTTCCTTCTTTCCTCTTCTCTTCAGAACTCACGAGCCCCCTTTTCCCCACTCGCGAATTCCTCCATTCTCTTTTGACAAAAACCCTAATCCACGAAATCAGCTTTCTTTTTCTCCTTGTTTGAAATCAATCCGACGGAAATCCTAATCAACGAAATTCATCTCTCTTACAGACGCGTTTGATTCCGTGTGTATCCTTCAACAGATGTTTTTGGTTTCATCTTCATCATTCTCAAAAATCTGGGTAAATTTTGATTTCTTTGGGTTTTATGTTTATTTGTAATGTGAGTTCAAAAATAATGGATAGAAATTTGTGTGTGTATGGTTAAATGATTATTGAAATTATGGTTTGAAAAAGAAAGGATTTATCTATGCTAATCGAAAATGATTTGGTTATAGTTTTTACTGTACTAGTGTTTGTGTAATTGTTTATGTGAAACTTTGTATTTAATGATATAAAATTGAATGTTGGATATGTGAAATGAACATATGCAAGTCTGTTTCAGTTATGATTGAATGTTTTTTGTTACAGGATATTCAAAGATCGAGATAATGGCAGTGAGACTGATGAGGAAGACAAAAGTTATGAGGAAGAGAAAGAACCTGAAGTTGAAGCTTAAGTTAAAGAAGAGAAAGAACGAGATGAAAAGAAAGAAAGCAGTGAGACTGAATAGGAAGACAAAGAAAACAGTGAGATTGATGAAGAAGAGGGTTTCACGTTGAAGAAAGTGATGGAGAAAAGTAGAGTACAAGCTGATACACTGTGAAAGAGTATTGAAGAAGACAAAGAACATGAGGAAGAAAAAGAACAAGAAAAGGGTGAAGAAGAGATTCGGGCTGAGGCAGAGCTCACAAAAGAGGGTGAAGAAGAGCTCGCACAAGAGGGTGAAGAAGAGGCAGAGATCAATGAGGCTGGAATCGATGAAACTCCAACACCACCACATGAAAATTAGGCTCGGGTTGAAACAGATAAAACCGATGAAACTTCAACACCACCACGAGAGAATCAGACAAAGGAAACTCCCACACCACCACGTGGTAGGACTAAATCAATGGCTGCAAAGAAACTAGTCACTACACCACCATGTGGGTAGATTAAGGCAATGACAGCGAGAAATGTTGTGAAAGAAGAACCTGGAAAAGGTAAGCAGATTACTGTGGACACATAGAAAGCTGTAAAAACAGAGGAAAAATTCAGTGAGAAAAAGGAGGATGAAACAGAGGATAAAAAGAGGGTGAAGAAGAACGTGGGGTTGACTGATTTAACCGAGGAAACAGCTAAGACTCCTGCTCAAGTTGGGATCAAAAGAAGGAATAAGTGTGTGGCGGTGAGGAAAGATGCAGCTTCGAAGAGGCCTAGAGGTAGACCGAGGAAGCCTGCTAATCCAGAGTAGTTCACATTGCTGCCAGCAAAGAGGCCACGTGTACCATCACAGTGGGTGCAAACTTCTTTCACCGAAGACGAAGAGCCAAAGTCGAAGCGTCAAACAAAGGCTAAAGCTTAAACGTGTTTTGGTTAACATATTTTAGATGCTTGTTATGTATGTAGGATGCTATGTAAGACTATTTCTAAGTGTTGAACCTATGTAAGATATCTAAGATTGTTGTTTGTGTTGTTGTAGGTTTGGACTAGTAGAATATTGTATATTACTTTGTGTTAAACCAAAAATTTGAACTACTAGGTTTGATAGGTATTACTAAAAAAAAAAATATATATATATATGTCTTACCACTGGCTTCATTTACACTTGTAAGAAAAATTGAGCCAAAAAAATATGCATAAACATGTATAAAATGTGTTAAAAAAAAGTTTCAACCAGAGAAAAATATGTCTAAAACGTGTTAAAAAAAACACATGTCTGAATTATTTACACTTAGTAGTACTCAAGCTGTTAGTAATATTTCCTTCTTCATAGTAATATTTTTGTAAATTACAATACTTTTTAGTAATACCACATTAAAACATCAAATTTATTAATAATACCATTGTATTTAGACATTTTTATATTGTTTGTAACACACTGGTAGAAAAACAATTCAGAAAATATGTATTTTCTATTTTTCATCTCATTATGGTCTTACCATCAACATGTTAGTATGGAAGTATAAGGATATTTTCTATGAAAATGAAAAATTTTCTATCAACTTGAAAAATTAAGAGTATTCAATGTCTATTTTGACTAATAAACACATATATGGATATATAATCGCATAATATATGAGATATATATTTTAAAAATAATTATTAAGATAAAAATATGGTTCTTAGAAATATGCCTAATACATAGTAGTTCCAAGGTGTTCCAAGGTAGTTCAAGGTAGTTCGAAGTAGTTTCTAGTAGTTCATATTACACATAGTAGTACCAAGTAGTACCAAGTAGTTCAAATTACATATAGTAGTTCTAAGTAGTGCGTAGTAGTTCAGTGTTATATAATACTTTAAAAAATCAAATTTATTAGTAATACCATTATATTTAGAAATTTTTATATTGTATGTAATACATTGGTAGAAAAACAAATAAGAAAATATGAGATATATCTTATAACAGTCATATCCTTGATGTAACTTCTCCCGTAGTCAAAACATATGATTGTAATTGGAGAGATCACATGTTCCCCTGAAAAAAGTTGTACTAGTATTAGTTAACAATTTCAAGAATATAAGTCATTCAAGAACATTGTAACATAGTTGTACCAGTAATCCTAATAAGACACATTTTGCCTTAGTAGTACTAGTATTCTAGTAATTCCTACAAATTTTTGATTTTCATAGATTTAACATTTAAAATCGACCAGCTAAGTGTTATACAACTCACAAGATCTTCACCACTATGTAATGTATTATTTTACGTCTAACCATGGTAAAATATGCAGTAATATACAAAATGTAACTTAAACATCATTTTCATAGTTGTTTCAACTTAAAAATCATTGTCATAGTCTAGTCCGCCTACACATTTATATAAACAAAAATATAATACAGAGAAATTATTTATAAAATCAAAGCAATCTGTAAATAACATTAAATTTAAAATAGATATAACTAAATTAGAATCTTAAAGATAATTTTTACACAACAAGAAAAAGTGTCAAAATTATTTTTCTTATAAATAAAGAGAATATTATTTATAATTTATATAGATTGTTAATTTAATTACAAATATAAATAGTAAAAATATGAATTATATTACTTTTCAATCTGAAGGCCATATAAAATATATTAAAACTTAAATTAAGGGAATTGAATTTTTTTATTAAAATATTATTGAAATATATTTTTTATTAAATTCATAGTTTTTAATTATTTTTATGTAAAAAATAATGTGAAGTTTTAAATTGATTGTTGATTAAAATATTATTTAAATACAGCTTTTATTAAATTTTCTATTTTTTTAATATTAAATAATTTATATTTTTGAAATTAAATGTTGATTTGAATATGAAATATCTTGTTTTAAGTTTCATTGCTTTATATAAAAGAGTTAAAAATTTAGTTAAATAAAATTAATTTATATAAATATTTTATTACGTTTATTTTGCAAAATTAATTTTTGATTAAAATATTATTTTAATAATTTATTTTGTTATGTTATTGTTTATAAAAATATTATTTCGAAATAAATAGAATTATTTTCATAAATTTTTGGCTTTATTAATCATTTAACAGTTTGAAAAAAAATCCAAAAAAAATATTTGGTAAATATAATTTGGGATCCACCCAAAAAAATTAAAAAAAGAAATCTAAAAAAAAATCTGCACAAAAAAAATCTAAAATGATGGGTCCCACTATATTTGAAAGAAAAAGAAAAATTAATAAAAAAGAAAGGGTAAGAAGGTAAAAAGAGAAAGAGTAGAGAAAGATGGGGTAGTTAGAAAATAAGTGGGGTAGTGAGAATACAAATTTTCTACTTGTGGCAATAGAGAATACTTTCCCGATATTTACTACTTTTTGGGACTTTATTCTACATTGCCCCACTCACTCTCATCTTCATTCTATTTTAACCCGTCATATATTTGATTCTTTTTTTTTCTCAAAGTTGAAATGTAGTTAAAAAATTAATAACCCTTAATGAATCAGTATT